TGGATCAGAGAGGAATCGCACTGAAACGCTTAAAACGTTTGATAGTGCTTGAATCTAACCAAGGATTTCGTAATCACTGATACATTATTAATGTCATACATTGATAGATGGATTTTCAAATTGGACACGATTTGCAACGAGAGTTTCAAAGCTAACTATCGAGGAAGATTAGGCTCACAGAAAAAGTCTCAGACATCGCTTTCTTTAGTAATATTTACTTAGTATCTACATTGTTGGGAGTGTTGCGGAAGAAAGAGTAGCTAAACACTGTTGCATATTTTTCAACACGGTAAAAGCAATTCCCCTCAAAGTTTCCCTGTGAAATTTTCATTTTTCTAACTTTGTCTATTCTTAAAAGACCGTTCGATATCTCGACAGACTCAACCACTTGGCGTTCAGGTCTAATCTATCCGCTGGACCCCGAAGGCTGAAATTTGTATAACTGGGTCTCTTCCACGAAAAAGTTCGCCGACCCCTGATTTAGAGCGTTATTGACGCTGACGCAAGGAGTACGCCGAAACGGTCCTACGTTCAATTACCGAACATCGTTTAGCCCGACTGTTTCTGGTTCGATCCTTACGTAAGCTCGTTAGGGGGCGACGCGACAAAAATTCGTCTGGAAATAAATTCCCGGAATTCCCCTTGGCTCGTTACAGGACCAGCGCGGAATTTTACTTCGGTCGACGATTAAGGTTATCATCTTAACGGGAAACACACGAGCAGGAAACGCCGAGGACGCGTATCTCTGTTCCACCCGGTAGATAAGCTGATCCGTCGATAAACGATGTCGAACCGCTGTTTACGATGCTGCCATTAATTTTGTGGCGATGTTGCGTTTTGCATAAGGGAACTCGCAGATCTTATTCCATTTTTTATTAGACTTTGCTCGCGTCGGTGCGATGGGTACGCGTGTACGGCGGTTTAGAAATTGTTTTCTTCGAGGGAAATGAAAACATTTTCGAACGCGTTATTCGGGATCATTTTGCGTTTGTCTGGATGGGTGTTAACTCACATATTTTTGGGAATATATTTATGGATATTTACGTACTCGAATATTTTATAGATACGTAAATAAAACGAGTAGAGTTTAAATATCGTACAGGTATTCGAATACTCCAATAAAAGTTCATCCTTATTATTCGAGTTGCCAATCGTTTCCAAATACGTTCGCAGCCCACAAATACGTAGATACCCTTCGTAACGAACGCCTGCCAATATACTCAGCAATAATAATAAATTAAATCCCAGTGGCCGGAGCTCCAGTTTCAGCCGCCTCTAAAATCGCTCGAAAAAGAGCAAGTAACGCGAGCGCAGGTTTCCTGGCAGCGCGGTGCATCCCCTTTCGCATCGCGTCGAAGTTACCGCGATATCACTTGGGGCGTTAGCCGGATAAGCCGCTAACCCCATCCACCTGTTGCCCCTTCTTATGCGTTGCTGCTTACAGGCTCGCGTTCATCCTCATTCCTCGCATGGAACCGAGCCAAGGACCCGTCACGTCCTCTTCCAATTCACGCTTACCTTAGGGCCACGGCTTCCTTCTCCCATCGGCCGCTTCTTTATACGCCCGTGTCAGCCCCGACGACGATCCTTCTCCATCCCGCCGCCACCGGTGGGTTGTCCTCGTCAGGATCTCCTCTTCCACGTCCTCGTACCCCTCTTCGCGTCTCTTTCTTCGTCGTTGGTCGTCTCGCTCGCGGTGAGCCCGGGTCTTCGGCAGTCTGACGTGTTTTTTGCGAGTGCATACCTTGAAGCAGCTCCCGAAACAGTAGCTGGTACCCCGGTACAGTCCGGACCAGTGAAAAAATCACCGACCCGAGAGAGCTCCGTCCTCTCAGTGTCGATCGACGACCATCGAATATTTCGCCCGCGAATCTGCTCCTGATTTATCATCTCCATGGTGAATTTTAATGGTTGGAAAGAAACTGGACGACGAATTTATTTCTACGTTTAACTGGCGAGTTGTATTGTTCGTATAGATTGTTTAGATAGGTAATCGAAAATTTTGTAATAGTGGGCTTTAGGATATTGTTTTTTTTTTTTTTAGTAACGAAACTGTTAGGGAAAATATTTTATATATTTTATAGAATTTGTGTTTCATTGAAAAACGAAATCCTGGAATTCTTGTTGGAGAACACTGCGTGATGTGCTTTTTCAATTTACTACAGTTCGTACGGTTAAATAATTGTTACATGGATATGAGTACTTTCATGTGAAATGTAACAAATCATATATATTAGTATTGAAGGTTCATTAATGTTCGATATAACAGGGTTTGAGAAATCCCTGGAAATTATTGAGGGAAGGAACGACATGTGACAAAGTGTGTAATCACATTTTTAAGTGTTCATTAACTAACCATTTTTCCATTATTAGTTCTTTCATCGGTATCTGACCAAATTATTATTTCGCGTCTCTACTGCGATAAGATGCTATCTAGCGTGGTAATTTATAAGGTTTTCTTCGTCAGATGACTGTGTTCGATTAATCGAATTTGCTGTTAAAAACGATTTAGATAGTCGATGTTTTACCTAATTCATAAATTGAGAAGCGAAGGAAACGCTATGACATTAACAGGAATGGACCAAGAATTTTTCCAAGCGTTTAAAAATTTTTTGTGATTCTATGTCCTATTCAAAATTACATTTTCTTTCTTACTAATCATTTTTTCAAGTCTGCGAATAAGCGTTTGCAGTCGAAAAGTATCATTTAATTTCCCGACATCTCTAAAATTAGTCTACTTTATGTGGCCCGAAATGAATATTAAATTTTCAAATGTATCCTGCATAATGAATCAACGAATTTGGTCGACTCGGTTCGGGGGAGTACACACGAACTCTTCGCAAATTATACGATTAAAATGTGTTGACTTAAAATTTTTATCAGATCGTAGATTTTCGATGATTCCGTGTAATCTTATCTACAGCTGGATCTGATAATCTACAAAAAGCAAAACTCTATTTGTAATGAAGTAGCAAAATATTACGGTCTATATTTACGAGTGCTTTATGATCCGTCGTTGTTTAATCAATCGATATATATCATCGATTAAAATACTTGAAGTAATTCGAAAATCTTTAGCGTGCACACGAGAATTTTACTCTTTTATCATTCCATAAAATATTCTTGTGTGCTTTACAAGAATATGGCACTTGGGTTCTTTTTAAAATTAATTCTTAAAGAAGACCCCGTTTCGGAGCGATTCGGCGTAGCTCCCTTTATAAATTCCGGAAAAGCACGCGTAATGGCGCGACGAAGTCGCGACTGTCTGCGACTGTCTGGAGGGTTAAACGATTTCCCCGTTCGGTTTGGTCGGTCAGTTCCACGGAAGCGTCATCGACGATCCAGTTTCCAGACGACGAAAACCGGCGCGGTGCATTTCGCACTTTGGTCGTGTAGTGTAGGATTGTCGCATTCTGGGCCCACTTGACCCTCGTTAACACCGTGAACGGCTTAGCCGTTAGTGTTAAGTTCAGTTCACTCATACATAAATCTAAGTCCGCGCTTATGCCTTAGCAGGCCGCTGTCGGAATTGAGCACGTGTTCAGATTTCATCGGCGACGACGCTTAGATCATCCGACTCGTTCGATACCGACCGAATCGTCGTGGATTCGACTATGCCGATGGTATTCATGCCACGAACACCTTGGAAACCATGCTTTACGTACTAAAAAATATACGATGGATATTTTCTGAATTTTTAGAATTTAGCTTATTTAAATAGAAAAATTCTAACGTTGAAAACGTCTCTAAAATAAAATGTCAACCCGCATCGAGAGTGCCAAACGCAAGGGCGATAATTTTTATTCTTGTTTTACTACTCGTTCGTAAAACACGTAAAATTGCGCGTCCGTGGTAATCTCTGCAGGAATAATACAAATCCAGGGTTGTCCTTAATCTGCACTGAAAATCCTTGACATACTTTGCATTCGGTAGCGGGACGTATGCGATTCTATTATTCATATGCTGGCTTTCTTATTTTTTGTTACCTGCATCAAAAATTATGCAGCACCTGTTCAGGTTCCGTTTCATCCCGGTTTTAGTAATAACAAAAATTATTTATAACACTGTACCATCGTTACAATGGTACAGCCCTTCTAATAATGATTGCCCTTTTCTAATAATGAGTAGACAATACACATTGTAAGAATAGAGCAGCTCTAAAATTTTACAAACAAAAGTCATTTGATGCATTAGTTATTTATGAATGATTTACTAATACACGTGCATTCTTTTCATACAAAAATTGCGTAATACTTATAAAAATTTAAGCCGCTTTGCATTTGTAAAAAAGTGCCTTCGTGGTTCACGTCATTTTAATCCCCTAACGTCCTGATATAAAAACCACAAGGGAATTATTAATTTGGACTAGAATTTGGAGTAGAATTAATGTATTAACTCTCAAAAAAAAAAAAAAAAAAAAAATGAAAAATTATAAAATTTTGTACAAAAGACAAGAAACTTAGAAGAAGATCACTTTCCGTTAAATATATTGACATGTATTTTTGCCCAAGTATGTATGTTCTTTACAATTTTACAGTCCGATGCTTCGTTATCGAGATTCTATGCTCATAAACTTACGATCACGTGTTTCTCCCGAGAAAACCCGCATGCGTGGACGCGTGATCAGCTGACTGAGATGCAAATAGCATCGACTGGCACGCCAAGAAACTTTAATCGTTCATGTCTATCCCACGAAGCATCGGATCGCAATGTGGTAAAGGACTTTTCGATTGCTTTTCACGCGAATTATAATAATTTCCATAGAATATTTATGAAGTGTAGCGATCAAAGCGTTGTTTTCATAAAAATGATTGACATACCAAAGGATGGCCTCACTAAAATCAGAACATACATCTTTTTTTTATCATTTTTCTTTACCATATGTTGCACCAATCGTCGACAAATTTTCCCGTTTTGTGGGATGAATACTTAACCAACCCACATGAATTTTGTCATGGAAAAATGCAGGAACCTACAGAGAATTTTGGGACTTGTTGCAGAGCCAAGCTTTGGCATTGACGCACAAGGCCTCGCCACCCTCGAGGCCCAGCAGCGTGTCCTCGTTACCGAGGAGCCCCCAGTCGCACCAGTCCCAACAGTCCCAGCCGCAGAACACAGTTCAGCATCCGTCGGCGCATCCTCACCAATCGCAGACACCTCTCAGTGCCCCCCACACGCCATTTTCCGCGCACGGCCAGCATCCGAAACAAGAAGCGAACACCAGCCCCAAGCAGGAAGGTTTCGATCTCAGCAAGTCCGCCTCCAGCACAGGTGAGTCTTTACTTTATTTTTCATGTTCTGCGTCTCGATGAATATTAAATTGCCGGAACGAACCGGAGACTGAGGGAATCGTTCCGCCATGCTGTTCGGACAACAGTCAGCCCGAAACTGGAAAAGAAATTAAACGATGAAACTGACTGCGCGTAATGAAACAAATTTCTATGGACGCTTTCGACGTTCTTTGAGGCCGAGCGTATTGCGTATGGGGTGTCCAGATAGTTTCTGTATATATTGTGGAGTTTCTTATTGGGTACCGTAAAGTGAAGGGTGAATAGAAATGGAATTGTTTACTTTACATCATTTGGAGTTGTAAGATTATCTGTAAACAAAGGAACCCTATCATCTTAAAAATAATGGGTTCAATAAAATTCATGGCTCGAATTATTGTTCTTTTACTACCAGGGCGCAACAAGTGCCCCCGTGTCAAAAGACGCGAGCATTAGCGCCCCTTCGTTTAAACAAATCGTTTCTCCAGGACCTCTTCCGGCGTTCCGACGTACCCCTTCTTTCTTACGCTATTTTTCCCTCTCACCTGCATTTTCCACGAGAACAGTACACGCCCCATTATCCCGAATCTCGGCGAATCGCTCACGCGTTGTTCCCTCGGCCGTAAATCTTGGGCGTCGAGCGAATATAGTCACCCTTACGGTCCTGGGCCGTGCGAAAACAACTTTAACGTGTTTGCTCCGTGAACCTGAATCAAGATTATCAATGCTGGCAACGGAGCCGAAATTGACCTACCGAATACGTCATGCTGGCCCGTTTCGCAATACCGATTCCAGCCGATTGCCTGCTTTGACTTCAATCCCCTTCGTTTCTGTGCTTAGACGCTGTGAATTTTATTTCGCTCTTCTAAGCGAACGATATTTTTTGATTTAATGGTAGTAAATGGGTCTTGAGAAAACTGAGCGGGACTGGTGAGTTTCTGGTTCCGACTATCCTCAAAGAATCTACCGTCAATATAAGAGGAAGACATTACTTACTCCCCACTGTATATAATTCTTACTCCATGTACAATATTGCAGTGAATATTACAAATTAATTTCCTCTCCATCTTCGCACAGGAAAGTGATGGATATCTCAGTTTATAAATATCTCGTTCCTTCACTTTGCTCTAACGGTCCGCGTAATCATCCAATTAACTGCGTGTGCGTATAATGAACGATAAAAAATAATCTGCTAATAGTGTTTGGAGAAAAGAGGAACCGTTAACGGTCGTAACGCACGAGCCATCGGCTTGGATTCCCGTGTACGTAACACGAGTTTCCGTCGCGGGCTGGATAGAATCCGTGTGTGCGGAGTTGCAGACGATGGAGGCCGCACCGAGGGGTCGTTAAAGCTCGTAAACGAGATGGACTATCGGCGGAATTTCCTTGATCCTCGATAATGCGGTGGAAACAATTTGCACGCGTCCGTTTGCCAGGACGAATGAAAACCGGGCTACGAGCGTGAGATTTCGAGACGTATCGATCACGTTCGAGTAATGCCACATATATTTTTTTTTTTTTGTGAGGAAACTATGGCTAGCATAGACATAATTAACCCTGTATCGTATAATCAGTGCCATTGGGAATCTAATGAAAATTATCTTCAAAGAATTACCTAATAAAAAGAATCAGTATCAAATTTAAAACAGCTTTTCGTTTGAAGTTCACTTATAATTGAATATCACAGGTGTGTGTGTGTGTGTGAAGTGAGATTTTGTTGATTATTACAACGGAAGTGTATTCGTACATTAACTCGATCTAATACAATAAAAATTGATGGAGCGGGGCGCGTTGAAAATATTTAAACGATTCGAATCGAACAACTTCCCACTGGGCCAGCAGAGTTCCCAGGATCGTGACTTAGGGTAAGAGAGCGACGAACTTCGGAATGCAGGGAGCAAAAGTACATATTTGCCTCTCGAATTTCGAATGGCGAAGGGAAAAGGAAGGCGAGAGGGCGAGAAGAGACGGAGGCACGCACTTCCTAAATCTACGGATTCCGAAGGATTCTCCTTAAATCTTCAGCCGTCAGGGCTAATCCTCGGCCTTGAGCTCGAGGCTCCTCTTTTCACCCTCCTCCTCGTTCCTTATCTCGACCGTCCCTGTCGTCTTCGATTTTTTAAATCCCCCCCGCCCCCCCCCCCGAATTCCGCGAAATTTTATAATCGACGAGAAAAACGATTCGAGGGATCCCCATTTGAAACAGATTTTATAACGACTATATTTTATACTGAATATATTGATAATGATTTGATTTGATAATGCAAAATGCTCATGGTACGCGCCAATATAATAAAATTTTTGAAGCAAATTTGATATTACAATAATTCCAGGGTAAAATAAATTCCAATTTAGATTCAATTATTGTAGGTAATTGTAACTTATAATTGTAACCTATAGGTAGCTCATTCCTATTAGATATAAAACTGGACAATTACAATTTTCAATTACACTACCACCCGGTCGATATAATTCACCGAACGGATTGTTGGTTAACGTTAAATCGAGATGAAGCTTTTTATTGATGCGACGATAACGTTTCGAGCATGTCAAGTCATAAGCCGAGATTAAGATTAAGTCGGTAAGATCTTGAATCAGTTTTGCGAACATTACGAAACCTTTTTCACGAGACTTCTAAATTTAGAAGACTTCTTTCAAACGAAAAAAAAAAAACAAAAATTTACGAAAATCGAGAATCGATTTTTGAAAGCGTTCGTGTGCACACTCGAAGTAGACAAGGAGGGAATTTGGAAATGTCCCCTTCTCCGATCGCCTTGGAAGTACGACAATTGCGACTTAGGGTAATGGGGTGCGTGTGCGTGTGCTTGTGACATACCTGTACGAGGGCCTGATGCATCGGTGTGCGTGCACGTAAGGGAGCGGAGCACGAAGAGGGGAGGATATTGTGACCCTTACGAACTAATCCGGATTAAACTCGAATCCCTGGCTATGTGGCCAGGCGATTTGCGAACACGTGGAACGCCGTCTTGCCAGCACACGAGTGAACTCGTTACGACATTTAACCCTTTCCACGACTCCATTCGGATCGCTGCGGGACTGGAAACCGAACTTTTGATCCTTCACGCTTTTGTTTGGCGTTCGTCGGATCCGAATCGCTTCGCTCGAGGGTCCCTAACGACGCATTACTGTTTAGCCGCTGCTGTTCGGCTCACTGTGACGAAACGATTAATATCTTATGCGATACTCGGCCAATAAGATTTCTTAAAAGGTCGACTGCTATTACTTTTTTATGCAATACTTGAACCTCTAATACCTCTAAAACCTTGAAATACTAAACATAAACGACGCAATAATAGTAAGATATTCACAAATTCTGAAGGACCCTTTCCTTAGAAAGGATGCTGATTCCTCGGATGCTAATTCCTCGCATTCATTCAACGTTCATTATCGAAGTTTTACATTGTACGGTTACACGGAGCGCATGAGCCAGGAGATAAATTATGAAGTATCTTCGGGAATCATCGCAACGAGCATCATTTATCTTTAACTCGGAACACAGCGGAACTTCAACATCCACTTAGAAAACACTTACGACTCGGTAAATGCGCACTGCACGCGTAGACTCGTGATGTCATCGGTATCATTAAGAACGCGAGACGGTTCGTTTAACGCTCGGTTATTTACACTCGAAGCGCCGAGGCTTTTCGAAACGATCCTTAAAAAAAAAAAAATAGTAATAATCAGGATTCTTAACTCTACGTGAGATCATCGTGCAAAATTTTCATAAGTGTTACAAATTAATTCCATCAACGATTGCACTGAGTTGATACATTTGGGGCGGCCCCCCCCCACCCACTCCTGGACGCATCCATTAAATTGTTATTTTAATAATTAAAATATGACGCGAATAAATACGCTTGCAGGATTACCGTGGCTGTTAATAGATCTTTAGAGATGCTAATCCTCGTCTGAAAAGGAGCATATCTGCGATTAAATTATTTATCCGAAATTGCGTTCCGTTTTCGCGAGATCTGTATTCATCAAATACCATTGAAATCGCTCGAAAATTTCCGGGAACTTTCAACGGTTTATCTGAACGATAAAGCGCTTTATTAGCGGGGCGTGTCGTTAACCCAGTAAATCGGATGGGGGTAGGAAGTCCGATATAATTGCTACTATAGAATAAACACATATAGAGATTTATTTATTTCTAGGATAACCTGGGACAAGCTTATCGCCCGGGCTCGTTTGAGACCACCTCGAGCTTAAATTTTATCGGGTTGGATATAAATATGAAAAGTTGCTAGATGCAGTCTTCTCGGTTGCGAGCAGTATAATAATACAATTATCCTTGAACTTCGTATCTCTAATTTTCGTAAATGACTTAATTCAATCGGTCGAGACATCAATAAACCGATACCATCAACAATTTCGACACAAATAATCACCTACATGTTCGGTTCGTATGCATTATTAATTTCGCTCGCATCCTTAACGTAAGCCCGTTCCCAACCTCGCAATTAAATACCCGTATACGTCGGTTTTCAATTTGTTCGCGGCGTCGCGCTGTCGAATCTCCTCGAATACGTTTCGAACGTCGAATGGCGCGGCAATTTTTCGTTCCACCGAGTATACTTATCCGTGGAAAACGAACGAGGAGTCCGCCCGCCCCCGTGGCGGATTCAGGGGCGAACGGTGCACGCCGAATGTCGTCGAACACACAAGATACGCCAAGAATGGAACACGGGTAGCGCCCGAGAGCGAGATGCGCGGCGTGGAGAGGTCCGGGGGTTAGGATTAGCTGAGTTGTGTGCGTTGGATTTCCGATTTAGACGGCGGGCGGCGCACACTCGACCAATAATCCCGGATTAATCCCAGATTCGACTGTGTACGTATACAAGCGTACCGAATCACGGACGCGCACAAGCGGAGCGACGCTGTATCCTCGCGCAGAGCGAGTTACCAGTACATTCGACGCCAACGAGCAACAGAGTCCGGTCAAACCGAGTGACTGGAGTGTACAGTTACTCGCTTCAACCCATT